GACGTCACTGATGACGTCACCGGCATCCGCATCGTCATCGTCATCATCACGAATGACGTCATCGGTGACGTCACTGATGACGTCACTGGCATCCGCATCGTCATCGTCGTTGATGACGTCATCGGAGTCCGCATCGTCATCGTCCCTGATGATGTCATCAGTGACGTCACTGATGACATCATCGGTATCGTCACGTGACCCCCAAGGTCACTTGACCCCCCCCCCCCCAGGTCACTTCACCTCCCCAGTACCCTTCCCTCCTCCTCCTCCTCAAGAGCTGCGCTCTAATTCGGTGTTACAGGGAGTTGTAAACGGCTTTCACTTTTTTTATGTATATTTCGGGTGTCTAAAGTATCATTTTCTAGCTAAATTTCTTGTTTCACTTTGCACCTCTTGTTTATTTCAGACCTTGATTTCAACCAGTGGGAGCTGCTCAAACTCCTTGTGCCACAACTTTTTTTTTTCAGAATTTATTTGATTTTGTTGCATAGGTCTTAGATGTTGGAAGTGCCGTCTTTTCCTAGTCAACTGTTTTGTTTCAACACTTCCAGGACATTTGTATTTCCTAAATCTTCCTAGTCGGTTGTATTGGTCAACTCCTCCTAATCCGTTGTACTGGTCAACTTTTCCTGGACTTGGGTACGTAGCATATAAGGCGTGTACGAAATAAACTTTGTAGTTGAGTTTGAGACGTTGCCTGTTCTTTTTATGTTCTCCTTTGTGGTTTCCTTTTCCTGTCCGTCTCAGGTTTGCTATCATGTTTAGACTAAAGTATTGGTTCAGCTCTTCCTAGTCAATTGTACTGTTTTAACTCCTTTTGGTTATTTGTATATTGTTTAAGTCTTCCTAATCGGTCTAATTGGTCAGTTCTTCCTAGTCAGTTGTACTGGTCAACTATTCCTAGTCTATAGTATTGGTTCAGTCCTTCCTAGTCAGCTGTATTGGTCAACCCTTCCTAGTCTATTGTATTGGTTCAACTTTTCCTAGTCATTTGTATTGTTTTAACTTGTCCTAGTTACTTTTGTTTTTACTCTGTCTAGTGAATATGTTAATATTGTTAATAAGTATTTCCTTCCGAAGCCTCAGCCTTTACGTATTTAGCTGCATCTTTTTTTTTTTTTAATAAACACTTCTCGAAAGTTTTTGAATTTGCAAAATTTTTGCTTACTGTGCAACTTAGCTCTGCCCCAGAAAAGTATGTGGTGTTAAAGGGATACAACAATAAAATTTTGGCGCTCATTTTTTGGTATATATGTGTTCAAAGGAGCAGTATCACATCGAACACACCAATATCTTGTTAAAAAAGTCACGAAAAGAAATTTTAAAACAAGTTAAACGATTAGCAAAGAGCACCTGGTAAATGTCGCTAACGCCTCGTTTGTAATGCTCGTCTAGCAACCTTGACAGGTAGTGACGATGCTTGTCTCGCCTCCGGCCACGACGAGAGAAGAGGGGAAGGAGGAACTCCCCTCTTCCCGAGAATTCCCTTTGTGTGTCCTAGAAGTCGCTATTGTCCCCCTACACGATTATAGAAGAATAACCCGCCACTCAAAATTCGTACAAAAGGAGCCGTTTCGGTGGCTGGAACGACTAGGCCATCCTCTCGACGTCAGCCTCTCTGTAGCTTTGCTCGTCCCGAGACGACCTACTTCACGATTGCGCCGGATATCACGTGCTCTAAGCTGGGCCTTCTCAGAGCGCTTGCCAGAATGGGCCGTTTATAACGAAAAATACAGCCACCAGGCTCAAACTACACACGTGCGATTGTCATTTACGGATATTGTGGATCATAACGCAAAAGACCTTCTAGTTGTCCTGTAAACATCGCTCGAGACGCCTCGTAGCATAAAAAAGAGGGAGCGTTATGACGTCTACAAGACGGCCAGAATATGTCTAAGATGCCTAGGGCTATATAAAGTTTTGCCAAGACATCTTCTAAGACATCTTGTTGTCTTGCAGACGCCCAACCGAGATTTTGCAAGAAAACACGTCGTGTTTTCGAAGTCGTCTACAAAGTGTCTTGCAAGATGTCTTGCAGCCCAAAAAAGAGGGAGCGTTATGAAGCATATATCGATAAGACATCTCAAAACATATTGCGCAATATTACGCCTTGTTAGCACATCTTCGAAGACTTCTTTTAGTTGTCTTAGAAACGTCCTAATTACATCTTGCAAGGCGTCTTGTAGCTGTCTCTAACATGTCTAGGAAGCACCTTGCAAGACGTCTTGTAGTCCAAACAAGAGGGAGCGTTATGAAGTCTAGAGGGCAGCTTCAAGGTGACTCAAGACGTCTTAGGCTATATCACGTCTTGCCAAGACAAGCGTCTTGCCAAGACGTCTTTCGACGTCTAATAGGCGACTTGGTGTTCAGTGGGCAAGCCGCGTTGCACAACCTGTAGCCGGTGTTCCGGGCGGGGCAATAATTACTCTTTTCTTTTGGGGGCACAGCTGCTCTTTCCTTGGCCGTAAAAGAGTATTGGCATGCAAATTCGAACTCAAGGTTGATTCACACACTTCCGATTGAGTGCGGCTGCAACGGCTTGCGACGTTAATCGTTGCTATGGCGACGAAATTTTAAGCCGCTTACAACCGCCCCGTTGCCCTAGCAATCAGTAAAAAGATTAACGTCGCAAGCCCTCTGCAGTCACATTTGGTCGAACTCGCGCAAATGTGCCGAGCAGCCTTTACGCTTACGTTCTTACGCGTAGCCCTAATAGCCTCCGTCGTACTCGAAAAAGATTTCGAAAAGTAGCGCTTTGGGGAATCAACCATATACCCAACTCATAAACCATGAAAGGTTCGCTAATTTTAAATACAACCCAATGCGCCCAGAGATAACTTAATTATTATTGTGCTAAAAATGAAGCAGGCAGTGAAACAACTTACAATACTAAGTGGCACTTTTTGTTTATAGCGCTGAACAGTGAAAATGCATATGTAGCACTTTCATTAAGATCCTTACATCCACAAAAAGCAAGTTTTTGCAAAAAACAAAAACGCACGTCCGTCGAGCCGGATTCGAACCAGCGACCTATGGATGACAGCAATCGTTTCCTCTACAGTCCACCGCTCTACCAACTGAGCTATCGACGGAACAAATTCTATGGGATTAAAGTCAGTATAGATTTCTTTTTACGTATTTTATTTTTTTTAGTTAATTCTTTTTTTTTTATGTAGCGTTTTATTTTATTTTTATTTTACTAATACTTTTTATACTTTCAAAGCTGAATGTTCATTTCTCGCTGTGGAAATGAACAGATTGTAACGTTGTGAAAAATTCTAGCCCTCTGAACAAAAGGCGCGACTTGAGTCATGTTCAATGATTCGTTGCATTCGATGCTCTAGACACAAGGAAAAAAGCTAAATAATAGCCTTGATTTGAATTCTCTAAAGGACGCCCAAGTTGTCAAAAGCCCAGGTGAGCGCGACTTCGGGAACCGTGGCTTGCTTTTTGTTAACGGGGGAGTGCCGCCCTCTGGTGTCCATATGCAGAAACGTTTCCTCTTAGATTCTTGGCGCGTATCCCACACGTTTGAACCATTTGAACTCTGGGTGGTTTATGGACCAACGTTCGTTTGGGCAGTTTGAAGCTTTTATACATCCGGATCAATCCGAATCCTTCTTTCGGAAAACAAGAAAGCATTTTAAACTGCTAAAACCTAATAGTGGAGGCGGTCAGAAATTACTTTGTTGCTTGCGTTGAGAGCGCGCCGTCGATTTTCATCCCTCGATGACAGCGTTCCAAAGATCGCAAAATATCACGGCCCACACGAGCCGCCACAGCTGAGTGTGTTCCTTTTGAGCACCTACTGACAGCGAGCTTTCACCAGATTCCTTTCGCACCGTCAAAATTCTTGTTCATAGTAGAGCTGCTTGAGCTGGTGGCTACGTTTTATCGAAGCGGAGACCAGGGGTGGATTTACGACTCCGGCCTGGGAGGAAGGGGGGAGGCGCAATATTTTCATTAAAAAAATGTTGACCTTGAGAGGGCTATGGGGGTTGAAATCAAATATGGAAGCTGCTAAAATCTAGCGCGCGGTACCCTCTAAACCACTGCAATCTGAGCCCCGGACGATCCCGGCTTGCATTGGCGCCACTGGGCTGCGTTGACCTCGATTTAGCTCTTGGAGCCCCGCTTTTGTGTCCACTGTGGATTACCCCCCCCCCCCCCCCCCTCCCACACATTCTTCCCCCTTTTTTTTTCTCTTTTTAAGTAATTTTCATAACATGAATTAGGGAGCTAGCTGGAAGAGACAGACGTAGGCCTGTGACGATCTTCAATTGATCAACTGCCTAACTATTCTGAAAAAGAATCAAACAGTCTTTTTCTCTTCTTTGGAGGGAATGTCTTGGTTCTGGGTGCAAGTGCAAGTTTGCGCATTGGGTTGTGCGGTGTGGAGAAATGTTTTATTTGTGTATTTCTCTTTAATTTGACGTTTTCTTCTTCAGGAGTGTTTGGGTGATTTTTTCCCGTTTCTTTGCTTTATATAACGATGTCCCCCTCCCCACCTCTTTTTGTGTAATGACCCTAAGGGCCTTGAGGGTTGGCAACTCCTTGTCAAAAAAATGTAATTGTGTGTTTCTAGAACCCCAATGAATGTCTGATGTCTCCCCTGTAGACAAGAAATGTAGCCAGTGCAGTACCACTGCTGGCCAGAGACCTCAGTTTGCTTCTCTTACAAACAACAAGAATAGTCACCAGCATGGGGCAATTGTCAAGTGCAAGGTGTGTACTGGAGGCATCCTTGATTCAGGTAACCGAGCTTTGTACCTGATTGCAATGTGCAGGCTGCCCATAAAACACTTTTCTCCTGTTTATGTCTCGTTTTCAGAATTTCTCCACTTGCACCTGGATACCAGTTTCCAAACATTGTCAGCTAGACAGCAGCCTGCAACATGGAAAAGCACCTAAGGCTAAATAAGGAGCATTGTTTTTTTTTTGTTTTTTTTATTACAACTGTTGTATACATTCAGCCTACCTCTTACCAAGATGTAGCACCCTTAAATATTTAGTAGAAAAATAGAAGCGATTGCAGGAAACTTGTTGCGGCAAGCACCCAGTCGAGGCGGCGTTCAGTCCATGGTTGTTCGGAGGTAGTTCTTGCCAGACGGAACTTCATACTGCTTGATGCCCGTCGGGAACAGCTTGGGAATCTCTTCCTCGGTCACCGAAGGCAGGACCATGCACGGGGTGCCCTTCTGCAGCATGCCAGAAAACAAAAAAATTGGCATAACTAAAAATTCTTTTTTACAAACTGGCCCTCTATTATATTTTAATTAGATTTAGTGGGAGCATGGGAGCGCGTGGCATTGGGTACCATCAGAGGACTCCAACAACATCGGCACTCAACTTCAGCGCCTGACCATTAGAATGCTCCATAGTACCCGATACTACCGTGTGCTCCCGTGTTCCCGTTAACTCTGATTAAGGAAGTACTACTAGGTGCAGTCCTGAACGTGTTTTAACTGGAACAGATGCTGAGCCTACTCTTGGCATATTTTGGTCTGTTCCTATGTGTCCATAAATGCTTTTGCACTACTGTCATTATATATGTCTTTTTTATGCTCTATTTACCCTAACAGGGGTCCTCAAACTGGGTTCCGCGAGCTGGTCTCATGGGTTAGGCGAGCACCCAAATCACAGTGCCCACTCCTTCCCTTTTAATATAACCATACTCAGCGGCGTAGGCTTTCCATTTTCCCGGGGGGAGGGCAGGCTGAGAAGTTGTTCCGGAGGGAGGGGGGTGCTGCGCGTTACCTTTTCGCCAGAACTGGAGATTGAAGGTAACAAAAGCATTGCTGGGATTCCATTTCCCATGCATTTTGTCAATAAAGGCAACGTGGGCATTAATTAGTTTACACGCCACTACTATAGAAGCTCGTTGCATGGCACGTAAATGGCGTCTCGGTAAGGATCATGGCCCGGGCCCGGGGTGGGCTCTGCCCCCCTGGATCGCACCAGGGGGGGCACGAGCCCCGATGCCCCCCCGAAGTCTATGCTTTTGCCCATACTTACTAGGTATGACATCACATTGCTAGCAAACATGTGAGCAGAGTCGTAGCACAAGCATTTGTCAGCAGAGACCCGCATTCCAAAAACGAATGGCAGTTGAGCATTTAGCATCATGTTGGGCACTGCACACAAATAAATCCAAAAAGTAAAAAAAAATCAATAGGGGGCACGGCGGCACCCTCTATAAATGGCGCCCTCTAAGATCACCCAGGTCGCCCACCCCCAAGACCGGTACTGGTCAGTTAAAGGTTAAGAAAAGTTTTCGAGGGGAAGGACGTCTGGGGAGGAGAAAGCAGACGGAACGCTGGAGAGAGGAGGGGTGTTTCCCCCTCCCCCCCATCTCCAGCATTCTGTTTGCTTTCTCCTCCCTAGCCCTCCTTTCCCTCCAAAACTTTTCTTAACCTGTAACCAACTATAGCATTCATTTATTTGTCTGCACATTTGGTCCTCGTGTTCTCCAAAACCTTTCAAAAATTAAAGGGGAAATATGTCCTAGCTAGGCTGTAAAGATAAGACAAGGGGAAGCTTGAGCAACCCAAATGAAAAATGGTACTTTCAGAAAAATTATAAACTGTGGGAGAAATTTTAGATTTGATACTCAGACTGGCCTAAGTGTTAAAGAACGTAAAGGCAATACCTCTCACCAGATGGCAAAGGAACATATCATCCAGATTTCAGTAAAGCCAGACTAAGGTGGACTATACTCGAGGACAACTTTTCTTAGCATATCTGAAGAGATGAGGTGAGCGTGCACACAGCTTTGATCAGCGCTCAAAATGAGAGGGCACAGATGCCCATACCTAGGACTGTAAACAAAGTGTCTAAATTTTGTCTTGTTTGCTCTGACAATATGATGTTTACTCAAGCTGGTCAGCTTACTTTTCAAGCATTTTCATCCCTAGTTAACATTTCTTTAGAGATGTGAAAAAAACCAAAAAAAACACTGACCTGCCAACCAGCAGGCGTCGCCACCTTCCTGGTCTCTGTCACCAGCAGGGAATCGGTGGCACGCAGGACCTCGCTGCAAATAAGGTGTTTGCAGATGAAAAAAAAAACCAGATATGTGTGCCTTAAAAATAACTTTGAGCAGGTAGAATTCCCAGAAGAGGCTTGCATTGGTTTGCTCTTTATGTTTATACAGCCTTGATGGAGATGCGCCTCAACGGGTAATCGGTCTCTTAGCTGGAGATTAGAAATTTAGCCAGTGCAGTACAACCGCCAACCTGGGGTTTTTAACGTGCAGCACGCAGTAGTGATCACACGAACGCGTGCCGGTACGAAACTCATCCAGATCGAAACGGGCGGGGGCGGCGGGGATCAAACCCAGGAGGTTCCCAGTGCAAGCTTTCGCTCCACGCTCCGAACTGAAACGAGTTACCCCACTCGGCCACTTCCACCCCAAGAGGCTTGCATTCTACAGCTCTTGTCAGCTAACAGGAAGGTATGTGATAGGTGAACAATAAGCATAACATTGGGGAGCTTGCATCATTTAAGGCCCGTTCACACAATGCATTTTTCTCGCGCATCTAGCGTCGCGAAACAAATGGTTGCGCCGTCTGAACAAGTCCGAAAAGGACACGCGCATCTAAAAAAAGTTGCGCGCACACCTCGCTTCTGGAGCGAGCTTTTGCTGAAACTTTGCAGAGTCCTGTCAATCACTCTGAGGGCGCCGCCAATGGCTGCTCAGAAACGCTCTCACGTGGCCTTTGAGGGGGGAGCGAGCCGTTTGAAAAGACCACTTCACTGCCGGTGTTGTAGCCGAGCCAAATCCGAAAAAAACCGAAACCATGAACAATGAATACTGCCGGCGCTTCCACAAGCACGTCAAGCAGCACTGAAGGAAAAGTGAGTAGCATATCGGAAAAAATCCAGCGATGGACGAAGACGTAATTGGTGATGATGATAATTCGCGTCTATTTTTAGTCATAATTAAGAAATAAAACCTTGAGACAAGGAAACATAAAGGGACGTACACGGTACCGTCACAAAACCAGCACAGTGCACAGCTCTCATTTACTTCCACAACAGTCTTCTTCTTTGTCAACCTCCATCCAAATTATACATATTCAACACTAAATAAAGTAAATGACAATTCAACAATTGGTAATTGACAATTTAAGAGTAAATTAAGTAAATGGAAGTAAATGACAGCTGTATGCTGTGCTGGTTTTAAGATGGTGGTGTGTATGTCCCTTTTTGTTTCCTTGTCTTAAGGTTTTATTTCTTAATTATGATTGTTCACCAGCTCGCCTGCGTTTTGACTCTTAGAAAATTTAGCGGGGAAACTGAGTTGACGTATAAGTCATGTGATGCAACTTTCCCAGCTAAATTTAGTGGAAAATACACAAACAAAACAGACGGAAAAAATTTTGGGAGTGGGTTTAGCGTTAAAAAGAATTTCATGCCTTAAAAGCGCCAACAGAGCGGATCACAGAAGGTCTCGTGACAATTCTGAGACTGTCTCGCTGTCGGGTTTATCTTTTACGCTCAGCCTTGCAATCTTGAACACCAAACTGGCTTGTTTGCATACTTTTAAACGCTGCTTTTTTTAAGACTACTTTTGGTTCAGTAAAATCTTAGCTCGTCCTTTTTTAAAACCTCTTTCTCTTTCAGTACAAACTCGCAGTAAAATTTGCCTCCCAGCCATGTACTAACTCGAAGTTCCTTCCAGTCGTGGCGGGATACAGCATGGAGAGCTTCATTTTCTTGTCGGGACCAATGATGAACACCTGCAAAACAATGATTCAAGGTATGAGGTCAGAATTGCCAGAACTACTTTTAAAACTGAGTCAATGCAATGCATGTATCCTTGAGCACCATGGATGCCCGAACTGTGGCAACATAAACTCCGGGCTCATGAAACAGCACAGTTTATAAGTGTCAACTCTAGAACAAGAGCTGTTAACTAAATGCGACACAACTCACTGAAAGCTAAAATAAAGTGAAAGTCCCTGACCACTGTAGAGGCGGCGAAATATACAAGACTTTTAAAACACAAGGCATTGAGCACTGTGAGGATCCTTTTGCATTGGCTTAATCCAACTTGCATATTGTGAAATATTCGGGCACGTCCAGTCCGGATTAAACAAGCACCTTCTTGCCGTCGACATTGTGAGTGAACAGGCCACTACCGGAAGCACAATGAAAACACACACATCAATAACCGAATGACAGCATGGCCGCCAGATGCACACTTTCGGATACTTTCAGCTTCAGGCTTTGATTAGATTGGGGTCTGCAGCTTTTGCATTTGTTACTAAATGTAGCAGCTCTAACTGAATCTAGCCCAGTGTCGCGCCTTCTATCCAATCCAATCCAAGGCTTGGACTGGATTTGTCAGCTGTTCCCTTTGCATCGGGTAGCCGTAGCACACTCTACATCGGGTGAGCAGAACCGGCGCTCCGCTCTAAACCGAATTCATTGACTATACTTCTGCCCCCAAGTCCTCACATCTTTCCTCAGGGCACTCGATGGCCTTTCCGGCTCATTTTCCCTGACTGGGCTCGCTTTTTGACAATATCCCTGACAATACCCTGAATTTTCCCAGTAATTAAAATTTCCCTGACAAATCCCGGTTTTCCTGGTCACTAGACACCCTGCATTATTGAACATTATGATGTTTTCCCAGTGGCCACACTAGCGTCTTACCACATATATCTACGAGCACTTCGCTGCGATGAACCGCCTTTGCTTTCCCGCGTTTTTATTGTTTGATCTAAATAAGATAACACAATGTCATTAGTCTAATCCTTATCAATTGTTATGGTTAGAAAATATGTGTCTGCTTAAAGTGTGTGTTAAAAGGAAAAGAAAAATAATAGCAATTTTATTTTTTATAGCATTTTTTGGGCAGAGTGTTGCAGATTTCCTGGACGATCTCATAACTGCGATCGTCTTCCCAGTGACATGAAGTATCTTTGTAAGTATAATTGCTTATAATTATGATAAAACAGAATATGAGAAAATTACTATCACCCTACTTCTACACAAAGAGTTCTTTCTACAAAGATAAGCTAATGGCTCATAAGGTACCATCCAGATGCTTCTTTCTTTATTCATTCACACTAGATTTTATGATGTACAATGAATGCATGTATTGCAGGCTAGATACGGTTATGAATTTTGCAGATGTGGTTCGGATGCACATACGAAGTATGCGGATGCGGATCCGATGCAGATACGGTTCGGATGTGCATGCAGATACCAAGTCTGCCCATGCAGATCGAATTCAGATGATCAAACTATAACCCATGCAGGGCTCTAAGCATCACACTACAAAACCTACTCACAAAAGCGGCCTTTTTGAAGCCTCAGAGTGACAGCTAGTGCCTCACCAGGAAACTGAATCTACCTTAAATTCTGGAGAAATCGAGACAGCTACGATCGGGGATGGATTGCCTGCTTTTCCACTTAGAAAGACAATAGACAAAGAGGAGAGCGGGGCGCATGGGCGAGCAGCAGCCACTGGAAAGTATGCATACTGACCGCCCTGCAGGTGAGGGGCAGCCCTTCCTTGTCCTTCTCCACAGGGTCCAGCATGCCCAGCTTGACGGCAATGTCGCGCTTCTCATCGGCGATGATGGGGTACGGGAAGGGCCCGTCCGGCAGCTCCCCAAAGGCGTTGATGTCCTGGAAGCAGAAACAAGACCAGTGAGAAATTAGGAGACTGTGGCTGCAGCCATGCACGCACGGCTGACACACTCAGTGCACGAACCCTTTTAAGTGTAAGATATTCATTCCGTGCTGGCATAAGAGAGTGGGCAGCAGAGTAGTCAATTAGAAGACTGCGGCAGTGGGTCCAGAATTTCCCTCTGATCATAAGACTACCCTATCTTCGGGACCATAGTCCACAGATTATACACGTATAAAAGCTGAAATTTTATGTGGTGCACACTATACACAAGGATTTGCTTATTCTAGATTGTCAGGCAACATTTTGAGAATGATAGATTATGATACAAGCTTCTTAGCGAGCTAATAAAGCAGGCATTGGTCAGGGTATGCCATGTATGAAAATTTTTGTGTGCAGATTATGCATAGGATGGAGACTATATAAGGAAAAACTTTTTTTCAAACAAAATGTGCTTCCCTACTGACTACACAGGGTGTTAGGAGAGAGGCATAATGGTAAACCTCCTGGAAGAATGATTGTCACTTCCCGCAATGCTTGGATAGAAAGTGGCGTGCCATCGCAATTCACACGATCATAGGCAAAAAGAAGTCCCCAAGGGGAGGCGGCACAAACCCGCTTTAGCCTTTTCCCACCCCTTTCCCCATGCACTCAGAGGTCCCCGAAAAGCCACGGGGGGAAAGGGGGGAGAGCTTTTCTTGAGTTTTCGGGTTCTTCCCCTTCCCTTCCCCCCTACCTCTCTCCTCTGCCCTCCCCTCTCGCCACCTATGCACACGATTACCAGTGATCTTTGCCCTTTCTCGTACCCCTGTTCGGCAGTGCCACGAGTTGCACTGTAAATTTTAAACCAGTGTGAAATGCTGGGCAATTTTGAAGATTTTGTCATGTTTTGCGGGACAGTCCCACAAGTCGCAGGATGGGTGGTCACCCTTGCTGGACGGCTGAACGAAGGAAACTAAGCGATGGCGGCAAACGACAAGCATGGCACCTCTACCTCAGAGCTGTTGTTCGCGATGCCTGAGAATCTGTCTAGCTTCGAAAAATAAATCGTTTATCGATCAAAACATTAGGATTTATTCTGTACGACATGCCCAACCACCAAGCTAATTCGCACGAAGACTACGCCGAGTCATCATCCCTTCCCCTGACTCAAGACATAGCTCGTCTTGCAAACACCGATTGGTAGGAGCTTGAAAAGCGCGCAGACGTCAAGCACGAAGTGCCAGACTTTTTCGTGCGCTCTCAAGCGCGAGCGCAACATACGAATATTTCATCTGTTTCGCGCAGCCCCCCCCCCCCCCAAAAAAGAAAAAATGTGGTTGGGTGTAGCTACATGACTTTCGGCAACTCTTTCTCCTTTCCCTTTCTTCCACTTACCCAGTTTCAGTTTCCGTTTTGAGCAGTTGAGCTTTATCACTTTATTAAAAATACATGTGATGCTGTAACAAAATATTGACTGGATAGTGTTAAGTCGTCAATGAGGGAGCCGAGACCAGGTCATTCCAGATGAAGGGTTCCATTTTTAATAAACAATCCATGCCGATTGCGAGCTACGGAAGCGTGGAGTGCGCCAAGCTCGCACCGAGCTCGCGGTACCGCTGTCTGCTGGCATGCCGTCTTTGACAGTATACAACAGGTAGTCTTTTAACACCATATTAAACCGCCTAAAAAAAAATTAAAAAATAAAATTTTTGGGGGGTGCCAGTGTTTCTTTAAGTGGATGTCAGCTCAGAGAAATTCTGTTTTTCCTAATAGACTTATTCTAGAACTTGAAGCGCCTCATAGCGGTGTAATGCCAGAGTGTGCACTGTAGGAATCAATGGGAAGCAAAATCCTTATGTGCTCTGCTACTTGCCCACAAGTTGCCATAATGCAACGTGCGTGGTGGCAGATTTATGGAAGCGGTCTATTATCTTTTGATCCAGGTATGTCATGTTGTCAAGCTTTTGCATTCTACCCCGACCCTTAGCATCGCATTGTGATGGAGTTTGAGTTTTCTGCGATGCATAGTTTATTGACCTGGGTCAAAAAAACATGGTGCTCTTTTATCAGGAACTCTCTGTACTTTATTTTTATGTGCGTATTTGATTTTGAGTTTTATGTGAATTCGAAGCAAATAGTGGTTTTGGCCAAATATCTTCAAATCAAATATTGAAAAGTCTCTCCAAGCTTTTCACTACAGCAGCTGCTTAGACGAAAACCAATATGAACTCATAAAGCCTGTTCTAAAGCTTCCACTTGTCTCTATCTAAGCGAATTTTAATCTAGCTATAATTTATGGACCGTGACCTCATGCCTACAGGGAATGGCAAGTAAATGATGCACTTGACATAAAATTAAACCTACAGAGATGCCCACAGAAGCAAGCTCCGTGGGTGTTGCTTCTCCACAGTGCATCAGTGCTCAATAAGAAGCGCGCTCATCGGGTTGTCCCACTGCGGTCAACAGTTGGAAAATTATGAATATCAGAGTTCATCTCGAAGCGAATATCAAATTATTCGAATATTTGCACATAATTTTTGACTCATTATTTCTGATATCTTCATTCGACAACAAATAGTAATGCTCACAAGCCAATTATGCGCTAAACGAGTGATGTGACAGCAGTACAAAAGGTGTGGTTGCACAGCGTACATACATCATCCTGTAATTGAAGGTATACAATAATTTGCTCATCTCTCGCCTGTCAATTTGCAGACTGAAACTGCGCCCACTCCCGCAGACACAACTGAGCGGGGAAACTTTGCGTTTGCTAAGCTGTCAATATCGACGGCCCACCTTGATCCAACCACGGTGGCTCTCCACACTGTCGCAGGAGAGAGCGATGAGCTTGACACCCTTCTTTTGAAAGACGTGGTGCAGCTGTGCTGCCCTGGCCAGCTCGCTCGTGCACACCGGGGTGTAGTCGGCAGGGTGCGAGAACAGGATGCCCCACCTGTACAATGCGTGGAGGGAAGGCTGTCGACAAGGCCTCGAGAGAGTCTCCCGATCCACAGTAGACATTAAAATGGACGGGACAAAGTCTAAAAACAGACAGGACAGGCGCTAACTCTCAACCAATATAGGGTGGTTCATGTCACCAGGTTCGATCTAAAATTGATCGTAAAAATCGACGCCTGCACGTAGCTATCTAAACTTTTCGTCAAAGGTGTATTTCACAGGTCGGTTTTTTCTTGTAGAATTACAAAGCGTAGTTCTCTTTTAGTAAAAAAAACAGAGCTAAGAAACTTGCCAGGGTCTACGGCAGGCAGTGACCCAGATGACCAAGTCCAGTAGCAGGGTGTGCTTGGCGTTCGTAGTGATAGATGGCGTCGGGAGCAGCGCCTGAAGGTGCAGGCGACCAACGAAAGACAGCAGACGACACGCAGACGAAATCTGTTAGCGGCTATAGGAACCGTGCGGATCTAATTCAAGCCCCGACCAGGGCGCCCCTAGCGGCAAACGGGTCCGTTGCATCGGGCATCTTCTGCCAGTCGCTGCGTTGGTTGTGCGTTGTAGTAGGTTAGCGCTGTAATTTCTGAGATGGCTATTCCGCACCAAGAAAGCCGCAACAATTTCTGCGTGGTCGGCAAGATCGCGCGCGGCACGAAGTACTACATCGTCCCTTCGAAGTCCTACGAGGCGGATGACTGCGCGACCTGGGTACGACTTGTGCGTCCATACAGGTAGTGGTCTTTCTTACCTTCCAGTTCGCGCTTTGTTTAAGCTGCTGACGAATAATACAATTAACTTTTTTTTCTCTTCTAGCTACGATGGAACAGCATCGACACCGGCGGCAAACTCTAAAAGTATGCAGCAAATACTTCACCGGAATCGAGAAGCGGAATGCGTTCGCCCTCCTAAGCCTACCGTTGGATGTTTCCGTCAACCTACAGGAAGATAGTAAAGAGAATCGCGGAACGGCGCGAAAAAAAATCGCCCAGTTATTGTCAAGCTGATTCAGAAATAAACGTACATAATTACCGCAGTCTACTCAACGCCAACAAAAAATTTTTGCGGGCGCGCTTAATTTTGTTTGCAGAGTACGGCGCTCCGTGACATCCACTTGTCCGTCGAAACGGACCTCCTTCACGTCGCACACGCGGCCAGATTCGTGAAACAGTTTTCTCTTCGTCATATTGGCACCACGGAAGAAGCTTTCTGGATTCGTAACCGCCTTAAACCCCGTCGTAATCACCCCGGGAACACTGTCCGCTGTGCTGCTAATCGCCACTGCTTGCCCCCGATGATTCTGCAGTGGCTACCGAAGAAGCTTTCCGGATTCTTAGTCGCCCACTGTCCTCTGTGCTGTTCGTTGCTATTACTTTGCGATGATTCTGAGCCGGCGGCACCGGCTTCCGAACTCGTAACTGCCTTAAATTCCGTCGTAATCACGACGGGGGCACTGTCCGCCGTGCTGTTCGTCGCCATTGCTGCCCGATGCTTCTGCGGCGGCTACCGCCAGGTGGCCAGGTCGCGGCGAACAATAGGCGACCGCCGCGACACGGCCGGCTTGCTCGCTTCCTATAGCGCCGCCTTTATGCAGACGCGTTCTTTTACTTTAAGTATTGCTTTTATTGTTCGCATTTATTTTTTAACCGAAAGTACATTTCAAAAAGATTATATTCATTTTAATGAACCACGGTGATCGCGAGCCGTCGCGATAAGGAAGTAGCGCCATCGATCAATACGAACGCCAAACACACCCCACTATTGGACCCCTGTCGTCTGCGTTGCTGCCCGCCGTAGACCCTGGCAAGTTTCTTGGCCTCATTTTTTATGAAAAGAGAGCTACGCTTTGTAATTTTACAAGAAAAAAACCGACCTGTGAATTACACCTTTGACGAAAAATTTAGATTGCTACGTGCAGGCGTCGATTTTTACGGTCCATTTTAGATAGAGCCTGGTGACTTGAACCTTCTATATTTATTGTACGATTCCAATGTCAGACACTGCTCTGCATGCACACAAACGCATTCTCAGCTTATCATGAGCAAACACAACCAGATGTGACACTGCATCAATAGTTATGTACTTCGATAAACTGGGTAAGGCGAGATACAAGAGAGCGGAACAGCTTTTGCGACGTTGGAACTGTTCATTAAACATGACTTACCAGCTAGCATCTGTCCTGTATGTGTTTTCCAGAGATTGCCTCGTCCTTCTATCCATTTTTTTTTTTTCATTATGTCGATTAACCAATTTGCACAGCAATCCATTACACCACAATAGACCTCTTCCGAAAATCAAACAGCCTGCACACAGAGCTTACAACAAAATATGCGAACGTCACATATGGTCCTCCTTGCTCACTCAGCATCTACCACGTAACACAAAAAAGAGGCTCCAAAGTCACCTCCGTTGACTGCTACCTCCCAGCAATCAATTCAATGCCACAAAGGGCGCTGCACGTTTTGCAAAAGAAGGCTATCATGGTTGCTTGTTTTACGTTGAAAGCTGTAGTTACGCCTTCATTTGCTTGCCAATAAGATCTCCTTGGTGAGCATAAATTTTCCATCATTAAACTAAATTGCATGAAAAAAGTTAAAGACACTAACAAATCTACCTAATGCAAAATTAGAGCACAGCTCTTCAGGTATTTTGATTTTGTAATATACCGTGCTAAAGAATTTGAGAAAGAAATATCTATATGTACAAATATAGACCTCTCATGCCTGCATACATAACATAAATTATATATACCGTAAAATCCCGGGAGATGCCCCACCCCCGAAAGGTAACCCACCATTAGTGTTGGCTTGATATGCTATTTTCTTTTAAACACCGAAAGATAGCCCACTCCTAGTGATCGCAGTGTTGGGATCAATGATGACCTTGTCGTAAATGCGCCTAGGTTAACAATGGCGGGATATAAGCGAACGTTGCTGACTGGTACGTAGAGTCATCTTTTGCTTTATTGCCGCGCTGCGATAACAAGTTTGGCAGGGACACATAATCTCCAAAATAGCATTTTTTAAGGCTTTTCTTGGTTGCACACCGAAAGTTAGCTCACTCCTTATTTTCACCCAATTTTCTCTCAATCTTAGGTGGGCTATCTCTTGGGATATTATGGTATATGTGTATATATATATAAAAAATTATTTATTATATTATTTATATGAGGAGAAGGAGGGGCAGGTATGGAAAACTCTGCCCTCCTCCCAGTTTCCCCACTAAATTTAGCTGGAACATTGATGCCACGTGACCTCAACACCAATTCAGTTTCCCCACTAAATTTAGCAGGGAAACTGAATTGGTGTTGGGGTGATGCGACATCAGTTCTAAATTTAGCGGGGAAACTGAATGTGCAATGATGCATTATGAGATGTCACAGGCCAACACACCAATTCAGTTTTTTTCGCTAAATTTAGCGGGGAATTGAATTGGTGTATAGGTCTGTGACGTCCCATAATGCAACGCGCGCGGTTACGCCGACGACGCCGCCTCGAAACACGCAAACAAATGCCTAAAAACTGCGCTCTTAAAAAAAAAAAAAAAAAAAAAAAAAAAAAAAAAAAAGTTTACAACAATGCGAGTTTTCAAAAGCGCAGGTTTCAAAACAACCACTCGAACCAATAGAGAGTGCTTGGGCGTGGCTGAGATTCGAGTTCGTAAATCATCAAAAAGTCGTCCAATTCAGACCCAAATTCCAAGCCAGGCCCCTCCCAAGGCCATACAAGGCAAATACGCCGAATTAATGTCCCCACCGAGTTCCGCACAATTTTCCTCGTGCGCAAGGACGCTGAAGGATGTAGCGGACGACGATTGTCGTCTGTCAATCAAGCGCAACATACGACAACGCGGAAACAAAAAAGTACTAAAAAAAAGTCAGTTTTTTTTATTTTTTTGGATTAACTTCTTCAGCCGAGTGATTCAAGCGATGCCTAACGGACATTTAGAATATTTTTCAACGGATTCATTTTACGCTTGGGACAGCTGCAGAGATAACGCAAAATTCTCCTTTATCCGAGCAAAATACACGGTTACAATTCCCGTTTTTATGCGAACTGAAGGTTTTCTCCAATGCAGAATGATCTACAAGCACCGGCTCATGTAAAACCATGTTTTATGGGCTATCACATCACATTAGAATGGCATATATTATTTTAACAGTTTACCAACGTACACCACTGGCTAACATGAAACATCGGTTGGTTTGTGAACGGTACTTTCTGCAATGTTTGCAACTTTCCAGCGAAAATCACATCGAGAAAATAATGTGAACCATCGGATAACGTAACACGTGCCGCTAGTATCGCAATTGAAGACGGCTACGATGCAGTCGGGGCGATCGCGGGTACCATAATACGCATTCCTTAGACTTGTTTACTCCAATTTACAAATCGCCAGGCTGTTTTTACAGCGCTGTACGACGAAGTAGGTACTACGAAAGATTGCGGACTTGCAACCGGCGTGTGCGTGCCGCCACGGGACAACGGAGGAATTCACTCACGAGTTGCCGAGCCATTCGTGGAAGTCGATCTTGCCCTCAGTCGTGTCGCAGGTGAAGTTGGGGAAAGGATCGCCGAGGTTCAGGGGACCCATCGCTTTTTTGTTTGGTAGTACGTGTCAACCAGTGTCGACAAAGATTTACCGGATGGCACCGCTGATCCGCACGCACCGGTGACTGGGTGACGTTTGCGATTGGCGGCCGTTGGCGGCAAGGATGCAAGGACGCCCCTTTTTTGTGACCGCCGCCGAAGCGTCAAGGAGGCGCCACCAGCGTGCAGTGGAGACAGGGAGCTTTTATTTAGGAGAGGGAGCAACTGCAACCACAGAGAGCGTTTGCAATTTTATGGCGGATGCACCTCGTTGGGCGGATGACTTGCCACGTGCAAGTGCACATGCGTTGGCTCGTCGCAGAGAGAGGAGAAAATCAGGAGGAAAGGTGGACAAATTCGCGGAGAATCAACGTATTTTACCTCTCATCCCCTACCCCTATGGCCTAGAGCCAACTTCTTGAACTGACTTGCAAACGCCGTTAATAAACCACTTGAGTCCAATCGCGCAATTGCTCCCTCTTTTAAAATCTAGGCTCTCTCAGTGGGTGAGAAAAAGAGGGCAAGAGAAAAGAAAGGAGGAGGCAGAATTTTGTGGAGGACGTGGCGACGTGCGTGCGTGGAACCTGGCACGTGACTTCTCCGAGCCCGGCAGCACTTGTGTCTTTTTTTTTTTTTTTTTTTTTTTTTTCTCTTTCTATTTTTTTACGTTTTGAATTGGTTGTCTGGGCTCTCCGTTTCCTTCGTCTGCTCTTCTATGCTTCGATTGGTTCCGCCGTCTGCTTTCCGGAATTCGTATCCAAAAACTTGCGTCTTTGCGCGTTTTTTTCGCGTTTTCTGACCATTTTGAGCTTCTCGTGGTAGCCACGTAACCACGTTGAACACACAATAGATCCGCTCTGGTACCTGTTAAAAAGCTCGTGGGACGTGCATTTTTGCTGGTATTGGGGCTGAATAGAGTCCGGGGGTTCCGGACGTTTGCCTCGGTCTCATTCGTTGTAAAACCTACCCCTTTTTTATTATTATTGTCATAGTTATTGAAAATAAACTTCGCGAACTTTTCTTTTTCTTCCTTTTATCAAAACGCGCACATTTTTGTTTTGCTTTTCTTCCGCCCAGCTAACTTCACCTCACGACTCGGCGGTTCGCCCTGTGAAGTTCGTTGCCCTTGAGACTGGCCACTTCCATCCTTTTTTTGGCGACCTCGAGCGCCCCACGTGCTACGCTAGAGTTCGCCACACCGGTTTAGGTCTAGCGAGAAAAGACTACAGAACCTCGCTAAAACGGTGATTCACACTAAGTCCGAGCACAGCCGACGCTACGATTCCGTAGAGCCATTCAAGCAGCTCCAAAAGATCATAATCACGGAGCTCGGCCAGCTCGGCTGCGACAGCTCCTCCTTCAGCGCGAGCTCGCTGGCTTCCGCAGTGCTTTGGTGGCGCGGACTCCGCGTTCACATTTGCCTTAGCAAGGGCAGAAAGCTCGCGCTGAAGGCGGAGCTTATACTCTGTCTCATGATTTGTGTCCAGCAAAGGCATGGCTAGCATGGCTTTTAGATTTGCTTTCCTTCCGCGAGTGCTCTTGAAAGGAAGGCAAACCTGAAAGGCAAGCGCTCGCGCCTGTGATTTTGCTTTTGCTGCACGCAACTCATGAGATGGAGTACGGTCTTAAAACGGAGTATATAACCGGTTTAAAGGGATGATAAACCGAAATTTGGATTTAAAAAAAAAAAAAAACAACAATGCAGGAGATGTAGGCGGGGGACGCTACAATCCTTACAACACTACTCGTAAGGCGATATCTCCAATGGACGGCCGTATTTTTGGAAAAAGAGGTTGAGACTGAACGAGGCCGACAAGGCGCGTGACGTCAAGATTTCCCGTTTCCTCCTCCCTTCGCTTCGCTCCCTCAAGGCGGCGAGGCGGAGAAGACGCGAGGCGGTTCCCTCTCCTTCTCGGAGAAACAAGACGTAAACATATCTGTCAAATGCGCCTCCTCCTCTTGAAAAACACGCTCATCCGTTCGAGATATCGCTGTATGGGTGATGTTCTGGTGTTTGTAGCATCCCGCTGCACGTTTTTGCCGCCGTGTTTTGTGGAATCCAGATTTAGGTTCAGCACTAATCACGCGCAAAAACAACAAAACAAAAGAGGATGATTGCACGTGCGATCTCATTTGAGGTCGTTGCGGGAAGGGGGGGGGGGGGGGGGGGAGATACAGTGGTTCTCAGTATTAGTGAACAAAGCCACAAAAACAAAAGCACCTTAGAAAATAACAATTTAAATTTGCTTAAATAAAATCATTGTATCAGCATAAACTTTTTTTTTTTTTTTACATTTTTAGTTGTTTGGTGGTTTAGAGAGGTCGTGGTGGCGGAATTCTAAAGGGAGAAATGTCCGTCGTACTCGGTAATAATAAATATGATTGTCTTAGCCTGAACAAAATCAACAAAATTAACGTCGTTTTTTTTTTTTAATAAGGGTTTTAAACAACAAAATCATACACTAAAATAGGTCTAACGAGGGTTTTTTGTTTGCTATAAATTTGACATCTTTGGTAGACCATTTGCAAGTGTTTTTGACGTATCCTTCTAATGGCGCAAAAGGGCATAGATCATTGTGCTTGCCCCATTTAAGGTTGGCAGTTTAAAAAGACGCCTAAATATTTTAACTATTTAACCTCCTTTAAAACAATTTTATCGACGCCATAGCTAAAAACCACATGTGATTTCTAGTTCGCTTGTAAATACAGACTTGTCAAAGTTGATTTTCATGTGCCATTTTTAATTCCAAATAAAGAAGCATAGAAAGTATTCATTAAGTAATTACTCTTGATCATTTACGGAAGCGATGACATTATACAAGATGCAACCATCGGAATAAAGATAGATTTTAATCGATATGTTTACTACAATATCGCTAACATAAAGAAGAAATGAAGGAAGCAGTAACACAGATACCTGCGGGACTGAATAAAAGGTTAAAAAGAGCGAACAAATGGGGACAATGAAAAAACACAGCCGGTAGGACAGGCGCTTCACTTTCAACTGTTTATTATAAGCTCAGGTGGTTTCTATTGTTAGCTCAGGTGGCCTTGCGGGACACCTGAGCTAACCAATGCTTCCGAAGAGGCAGCATTCCCGAAAGAAACAAATTGCGATTAGTATTTTAAGTAATTAGTGATCCAGTCGTGTATAAAGGAATTTATTAAGTATAACTTTAACCTTTAAAAGCAGCATAGAGTGCGAAACTTTATCGAAAACTTTAGCATAATCTATGAAAATAACATCAACTTGACTTCTTTTTTCCCAGAGATTAAACAATTCTGTCGTGGATGAATTCTAGCAGTGGCCTTGTAGTTGAAAATTACGACGAAAACTATGCTGTTGGGAATATCGTATTGAATAAACTTGAGGATACCCGGAGATATGCCTATAGACAATCTGTTTCGGGAACTTACTGGAGGTGGACGTTAATGATTTGATAACTATTCTGGCTGATTTCCAAAGTTCCAAGGAACGAGATTTATTGAAGATTACAGTGAAGCATCTCGATGGTCACACAGAATATCTATCAAGAAATAAATTGGGAATAATATCAGGGACAAAACTTTCTTTCTTCCTTTCTTTCTTTCTTTCTTTTTTTTCTTTTTTGCAGTTAGGATGTTTGTTAATCACCTGTACGGCAATTCCGTTACCAGTGTGCAAGCGCAAACTCTTCGCTCGAGGACGCACCTCGACTACAAACTCAGCAACAACTAATATAAAAATCGCCAGAAAAGCAAAAACTGTTTTGTGAAGATTTTTTTTTTTTTCTAACATGTTGAGTTTGCAAACGCAAATGTTGAGCTCGATTCATTTCGCAGTGAATTGAGCAACGGAAAAGAACAGGTGCTGGCTCTCTTGTTCTATTAAAAGAAAAACAAAATGCTAGCACGTTGGCGGAACGGGGCCATTTTAATTCTAGTTGCCGCATCAGGTAGGGGTCCAAAGTAGGGGCCTATAAACAAATCAAAGGTAAAGGTGTCACTGGCAAAACTGCGATTTCACCAAAAGAAGAGAGCACGAGGTACCTTCTCTGTAATATCTCTTGATCCGGCCCCCTTTTGTTTCTCCTCGACTTTTCGGGGGTGAACCATCTGACCCGCACAGTCGAATGAGTTTGAGATATATATATACCTGCATGGGACCGCAGCGTCGGGTTTGAGTAAATTCTCAACCCCCTCGGGCCGCCCAGTCACCGACGCTTCAAGGTTTTTTTCTTATTTTTTTCTTTTCTTTTTTAGATTAGCGGCGTCCCTGAATTGATAAACGCAAACACGTACATCTGCAGACGATGGCGTATACCTTTGGTGTTCGCGTTATCGCCGTTGATAGGGCCGCCGTTATTATAGCTCGCGAGACGCGCCGACCGTGAACTAGGTTCTCAAAGACCTAAAACTAGATAATGACAGACAGACAGACAGACAAAGAACTTTAAGAAAAAAAGGAAGGAACACTGACAACACACCACGGCGTGTTGTTTGCCTCGCAATTATGCCTTTCACTGCGTGCGCAAGCACTGAATTGACCAAACCAGCACGATGAATTCGCCGTGACCTTGCGCTTTTAGTATCTGCTGTGCGTGTTTGCATGTGTTCTAGCCTTCGACTACTTTCTGATCTATGATATTAGGGCAACCAGACGTCCGGTTTTTGGCCGGGACAGTCCCGTTTTCAAAGTTCCACTTCTGCCGCCCCGTCTTTTTATCCCAGTATAGAATCATGTCCCGTTTTCGCAGGAGTACATCGCTTCGAAATAGTCACCAAGCGAGTAGAAGCGAAATGAAACTATGCGCCTATTCGTTGCCAGTATATTTTACAAAAATAACCGTAGGTACTCTGAAATATTTACCCAGAGAGTAAAATTTAGAACTGTTCTTGCACACAAACACTTTTTCTCTCGCAAAGACGCGCGTATAGAATTGTTTTCTAGTTACTAGATATAGCATGGACGTAGAATCATGTAGATATAGCACGCATGTAGAATTTCATTAAATTAAATTAAGCGAAAGATCACGGCGCTATTCCCGGCTTGATCTTTCGCTCCGTTCGTTTGCTCGTTACGATTCCACTTTTCCTCTTACAAAAGGGTGTATTCTGGCAAGCTTCCAATGACGCGTAGCTGGAGCGGGAGAGGAGAAAGAATACACAGCGACCGTGGCGGTGGCACAACGTACGCGACAA